AGTTAATCGTTGTAGTTATAGGATAATTATAAAATAACTTTATACTTATTGTGTAGTGTGTTTACTTCTGCTTAAAAAAACAATTTTTTAATGTATCTTATAGAGCTTCAATACAACTTTTATACAAATTCTATTACAACTATCATAAAACGTTGAAACTACAAGTATAAGAATAGGTATACAACTCTATTATAACTTTTATACAACTCTTTTAAAATAATTTTATAAGGGATTGTATAAAACGTTATACAATGGTTAAAAAATGTGTATGAGTTTGGTTCTATAACACGAGTTGTAAGAATATATATACAATAATGTATTAGAATTTCGTCGTTTTTACGATAAAATTATTGTATTAAGACGCATTAAACAATAAAAATGTTCTTTTTGCAGCTCTAGACGATAGTTATAAAACAATTCAGTTCTTTAAGGGATTTATTTTGCTAGTTGGGAAATAAAGAGAACGTATAGGGTTGGGTTGATGAGATTTTTTAGCGTGGATTCAGATATTAATTTGAATTATGAAACGCCAACTTTTCCAAAAAGTGTTTGCGGAGCAAATTTAATTTTGAAAGTAATACAATTTGTAAGTAGGTAATTTTTCTCTTGTAAACTGGACTACAATAATGTTTTTAATAATTTGTTGTCTATTTTAATTTATTGTTGAAATATTTTAGGTAATAGGCAGTGTTGGTATTGGATTCTACTCTGAAGGAAGAAAAGTTATAACAGCATCCATCACATCTCTAACATATCCTTACATAGTCTATGGTAGTTTTATAATAATAACAGGCATAATAATTTTGAGTTATATGTTAGGCTATGCAATGCCAGACGTGTTAGTAAGAATTTTTAATACTTTAGCTACAGTGTTGTTCTTGATATCAGCAATAATAACTCTTTATATTTGGATTGTAAAGCATAGTAAACCTGAAAAAGAGATTGAAAATGTTAAGGTGCCGTTAGTATTTTTATTAAGTCAATCGATATTAAGTTTTGTTAATTCTTTTGTTTATGGTTTAGATGCTTTTATAAGTTATAGGAAAGCTATTGATTTAAATGAAATAAATGGTTTATAGAAATACATTTACAAAACATTTTTTGTTATCCATACCTATCCTACCTTTCCTTTCAAATAAAAATCTTAAATTCTTTAATGTATTATGCAAATTTTCTTATCTTGGTTACGTACAAAAACATGCTGTATATTCTCCGAGTTGTGGGCGTGGTTTAACTTAAAATTGAGTGTGCCGTTTAAGTACACTCGATTTTTAACTGACCAATCACAATTCGTTTATTTTGATCTTTGTGGTAAAAGCACCACCCAGAATCGGGACGGTTTTTTAACTATTCTATGTCTCAAGTATCCATGCTGCAACCATAGTTTACATTAAGCCTAAATAATTTTGATGATCACATGCATAGCGAAAGTAAAAAAGAAAGTAGTCATGCATGCTTTTGACTTTACACAGCATTCGATGCACCACCATACTTAATTGGGTTAACCAATAGCAACCCAACCTATCATGTATTTTACCTTAACCTCACATAAGATGTTCTAATTTTTACATAAGAGCATATCTCATATTATACCTATACAATTTTACTGAAGTTTACTCTCTTAAAATGAATAACTAACTATAAACCATATTTGACTAATTGTTATAGCGAAAAAGCAGTTACTAATAATTATTCAAATTCTACTAAATGAAATAGTTAAATTAGTAGATTTAAAAAGTTTTGTGGCCCAGCCGTGGTTTAAACTCGGGTCTTTCACTTGTCTATGAGCTAAAGTCACTTTTAAAAAATTAACTTTATTTGTCTATAAATATTGTTAATAATATTTTAAAGCTGAATATATTTTTGCAGTTTTAGTGATTTTTTACACTTTTCAAAGCTTTCAAACATACGGATTTTTGAATTAAAAAAAATAATCCTGGTATAGATTCTTTGGGAAATTTTATGCTCTACAAGAATCCACGACGTAAAAAATTTTATCTCAAACGGTTCAAAAGTTATAGTCTTTTTAATAAAAAAAGATTTTTTTACGTGTTATTTCAATGGAAAACTTAGAATGCTCACCGACACCTTTTAAAATTGAGCAAAAAATTTTCCTTGCAGGGAAATTTTTTGCTCGGTATTTAGGTTCATTTTAACCCATAAATCCGATAGGTTAGTTTTTTTGGCTCACCCTAATATATACCTACCAATGCGAAACGTGAACCTCGTGTATTTGACAAATATTGACAATTTTCCCTAAGGAGTAGATCAAAAAATATACGGGTGTTCAATTAATGCCTGGTTTATGCAGACTTAAAACTTAAGACTTAACATTTAACAATAATTATTAAGAAGTTAAAAGTTAGGTTATTTCATTGATTTCCTTTAAGGTCGTTTATGCACCATTTAAGACTTAAGACTAAAGACTTAACATTTAAGAACTAAGGAAAATTACCTTGAGAGATAATAAACTTTTATCTTTAATTTTTAATTCTTACATGAAATCGCATTTGCGCAAGCGTTAACTAGGGAATTTTAAATTAAACTGTTTCTTTTTCTATGGTTGTTGTAACTGAAAATTTAAAAATTCGTGTTTCATGTTTTTCTTGAAATTACTGTGCTAAAATGATAGATAGTTTGGATCCATTTTAGATTAAACTAGTAAACACAGATTATAAAAAACGTTGATAAACAAAAATATACGCATTCGCAAAACACAACGGTAAAATTTCAATGTTAATTGGCATTTTAATGTTGGTAGTACCAACTTGATACCACGTGATATTTTTATCGATTTTGATTGGTTACTCCTTAAGTTTTAAGTCTTAAGATTAATGCTGCATGAACGCCACAATTTTCGCATAATTTTTAATTCTTAAGTCTTAAATGTTAAGTTTTAAGTCTTAAGTCTGCATAAACCCACCATAAATTGAAAAAACGGCGTTGAAATCCCTGTTAAAAATCACCCATAGAGACCAATAGAAACCAATAAAAAATCAGAATGGAATGAATTGGTCTTTATTGGGCCTATTGGTTTCTCAACAGAATGAGCATTGGTTTCTATTGGTAATTTCCGTACTGGAAAATGCCAATAGATTATCTAATGGTCTGAATTGGTTTTTATAAGAAGTTACAAGTACAGGAAATTCCCAATTGAAATTCAATTGGTAAATAACACTTAAATGTTCAGCGCCTGCGCAATTTAATACAAATGACCACTTATTTCTATTGGCAATTTTCTTACTGGAAAATACCAATAGATAAACTAAAGGTCTGAATAGGTATTTTATCGGTGTGTAGGTACAAGGAACCCTATTGGTATATACCACTTTAATATTTATTTTCAAAATTCGCCAATAGGTAGGCAACCCATGCATACCTCTCGCCTCTGTAGCACAATACATAGGCCTATAAAGGTGGAATGCCTTGAGCTGCTAAGTAAGGATTCCTTACTAAGGCAAAATTACTGGCCATGGAAACGCTTGGCGTTTTGGAATTTTTAAAGGGGCACAGGTCGTCCTGTGGCCCACTCTGCGAAAAGTAAGCAGTGGGCCCCACTACATACTTTTAGCAGAAGCTATTTATAAAATTTAAATTAAATGTTAAACAGCACTATTTTTGAGAAATTATTTAACCATCAAAACACGTAATTTTTTACCTTAAAAACGTCTAAAATGGATAGTGGGGACCAATTCAAACCAATATAGGTACCTCTGGAAAATCCAAATAGCTCTTCTATTGGGAATTACCATTAACATTTAATTCTCCTCTATCATTCTCTATTGGGAAATTCGATTAGTCTCTATTGGTCTGTATTGGGATTTTCCAGCGGTGTCGCTATTGGTTTGAATTGGTGATTCATGGTACAGATACCACTATTGAGACCAATTCAAACCAATAGAGCTACCGCTGGAAATTCCCAATAGCTTTTCTATTGGTCTTTATGAGTGATTTTTAACAGGGATGGCTTAAAACCCTCAAATTGTATTCTCTTTATAACGTATTCAAATACTATTGTAGGTATATTTATATTTAGAGCATACAATAATACTTACTAGGTATCCCCATAGGACATTTTAATGCCCACCGTTTTTTTAATTCGATGATTTTTATAATTTAAAGAATAAAATAGGTTTTGGGTTTTACTATTACACTGAAAGAAATTTGTTGCTAAAAGTAAATACAAATTTATACTAAAAATTTTATACTAGTGCTTTACACATTTATACTACTGTTTATTATGAATGTATGGTAAATTTTGTAATACATTTATTGTAAAGAAGATATGTTAGATCTAAATAAAAATAAACTTACCCTTACTATAAAATGTAAACTATAAGTGAATTACAGCAAAAAAATATTGCTAGAAACACCATTTATATTGCTAGGGCAGCAATAGGCTGCTAACCAAACGAATATATTTGTTTTAGCAATGTATGTGGTAGTCTATATATGAAACATAAAATATATTTGCCCTAATTATTTTTTTATTTAACTTTAGTATATATTTCTTTCAGTGTACGTAATCATGATACATTTTTTCAATAAAATAAGAATTATTTATTTTTCTTTAATATTTTAGAACACGTTTTCAATATAAATCTTTATTAAACATAAAAAAATGCCGTTTTTAAGTTTTTGGATTATCCGTCTTATAAAAATATTAAATAGTATTATTTCTGTTTCTTATTTATTGTTTATAAATTATTTGCTGATGTTTAAACTATATGATGAAATATTTGATTATGAAGAGTTAAGTTAGGCAACCAATATTACAAAACAACACAAGTTGTAATAATAATTCTTAATAAAATTCTTTTTAAAAATACCTTATAATTAACATTTTATAAAGCAAATAATAATGTAAAATATGAAGGAATTCTGTGAAAATAATTTGTTAAAACCGCGCTTTCGTTAAATCCAAAATTTTGCACAGTTGAGTGTAACATTAATGAAAATACACTATATTTTCATTAATGTTACTTTTAATGATTATTTACCTTTTCTGCTTTGGCTAAGTTAATCCATAATTTCCTCCAAGTGGAAAATTTCTTTTGGTCGCTAAAATTGTACAGCATTTCCTTGCTAGCGTACCTAGTGCTAAGTGGGGACCTGTAGTTAGCATAGGGGCTGTTGTAGTCGATAGATTCACTTTCACCAGCCATCTTCGCTGTTAATTGTAGCGTTTGTACTCGATTTTTAAGCAATTTGGCACCTCACTATATGAGATAACCTCAAAGTAATGTGTGCTGCACAGCTGATTATACGAAAGCGCATTGGGTTTGTAGTGTGCTGTGGTTGCGCTTGCGTCATAAGGCATGGGCGTGAAGTTGGGGGGTTTTTAACAAAAATATTACATTTTTGAAAGTTAATACAAAAGTAGTATATAGAATAAACATGTTTTAGGTAATTTATCAATTGTATTTATATTTTATATAATAAATCAAAACGTTAATTAGAAAATAATTAATTAGAATTTTATTGTACAAATAAATAAATAAATTTATATAATTTTTATGTTTAATAATTTAACGAGTAGCTTGTGTTTTAATAACAATAACCTGTTGAACTTGCGTTTATCACTTAATATTATGACTTAATATTTTTAAAGGCATCTCATAAATATGTTTGTTAATTTGTTAATAATTTAATTGTGCAATTTGACAGAAGTATTGCATGCAAATATATACACCACATTGTGATGTATGAATTTTAAATTTCAATTTATTTTTAATATTAATGAATTTTTCCATCTACAAAAAAATGACATTAAAAATATTTTATATTTTTATATCTATAGATTTTATAATTGGTCTTAACAGAAGGAGCGGAAACATATGTCAAAATATGTATGTACCTACAATAATGTTTTTTGTTATTTTTTACTTTAATATAGGCAAGTTATATTATTAAACAGTAATTTAAAAATTTTAAATTTTGTTTTATTAAAATATTAATTATAAAAAATTAAAACCCTATTTGTCAAAAACCGTTTAGTATTTATTTTATACCTAATCAAATGGTTAGTGCGACATTTTTGGGACACCCTGTATCTTCTTAAGTACCTACTTTTTTATATTTATATTTTTAGTTTTACTTATTACATTTATTTTTTTAATTGACATTCAACTATTTATTGTAATAAAACAATCAAGTTTCATTCACGCAAAGGCGACAAAGGCCACACTACCTAGAATCAAGCAGCCATTGCGTAACTTTTACTTGCCCATCCTTGCAAGAAAATTTCTCACGTCCTTAATAAATTTGTACAAAATTATTAAAATTTATTTTTCCACGTATTCGTGTAATTGAAAATCTTTCTTTCAAACTTAACAATAATATTTTTTTTGTTTTATACATTTATTCATTATACAGGCACAAAGTAATAGAGGTTGGTTTTTATAAACCTCTTTATAAATATTTTTGATCAAAATGTTTAATACAAAAATTGTATAAAAATTCTAAAAAACTTTAAATTAAGACAATAAATAACAGAGATAAAAGGTTTTTGTGAAAAGAAGGGCGATAATTTTAAAACAAAAGCTCAATTAAAAAATAATTATTTAAAAAAAGTGTTAATAAGATCTAAAACCCCTACTACGTAACAAAATAACCTCTTTAATAAAGCGAAATGTATATGCAAAAATTATATATTTTTTATAAAAGTAAGTAGGTAGGTATAATTATAAAAAGTCGTTGGAATATAAATTAACCGGGGATTTAATAAATTAACCGGGGATTTATTTATTGATTGATTTAAATTTAGTCTTCTTGTAAGTTGGTGGTTAATAACCCGTAAAAAGTAAATTAATTTGTTTAAATAAATTGTTATTATTTATTTATTTTAAAATTAATATAATCCTATTTGATCTTGAACTACTTTTAAAATATCTATCAAAAAACATAAAATCATAAGCACCTTTTTGTTTTGTAATGAAATTATTGCTGTTACACATTGTAATTGGCAATTAACAGCTCTTTTTTAAGAAATGCATAAGTGTTAATTATAAAAACAGGTTACTATTGTTTCGTAAAAAAATATTTAAACAAATTACGTGTTTAAAAAATGGCGAATGCGCCGGGGTTGATTTTTTATAATAAAAACTTATTTATTTAAAATAGGCATTTTAAATGTAGATTTTTAGTAAAATCTACTTACCCTTTCCAACTGTATTTCAAAAAGCGTTAAATGTATTTAAAAAAAAGAAGGCGTTAAATATATTTTAGAATGGTCAAAGGTTTTTCAAAAAGCGTTCAATGTATTTCAGAATAGTAAATTGCTTTTTAGAGAGCGTTAAATGTATTTCAGAATATTTAGATGTATTTTAAAAAGCGTTAAATGTATATATTTTGAGATAAAGTTAATATAAAAAGTTATTATTATGCTTGATATATTTTTTACAGTTTGTGTCAAAAATTACGCAGTAGATATTAAACAACTTATATATAGTTATAATAAAAAAGTGATTTATTTTTTGTGGGAATGACCCGCACAACAAACATAAATAAAAAGAAAATAAGGCCTTATTTTTATTAACAAACAAAAACAAAACATTTTTAGGTTAAAAAATAATTACGACATAAAATCATGTGTCACTACCATATTTTCTTATTTCATTGCTACAAACTTTATCAGTATTGCCAACGCGCAAATTCAAATGTAAAATAGTAATTCTATAGTAAATATTATACTATTTTTTTAATTCAAAAGTCTTAGGCGCCTGTTATTATTATTAGAGGTCGCTTATCGCGTGTTACTATTTTTTATTTAAATAACATGGGATTTTTTTTAAATTTTGGAACATTTTATTTTCTACAAAAATATTTCATTTAAATTTTTTTTAAATTACTGGTTATATGTACTAATTAATGTTTTACAATAAAATTCCCCTTTTTCTTGAAATTAATTGTTATTCTAACTTAAAGTATTAGTTTGTAAAAAAATATTATAAATTATAATTATAAAATAACATATTTTTATGGAAAATAAAATGATCTACAAAAATGTCCTATGACATTTTGTAATAAATTCGATAGTTTTAAAAATGACCAGAACATATATATCTGTCCTAATCATTTTAGTCTATTGATCCGTTACCGAGTTCTATAATTTTAAAGTTAATTTTTTTCCATATTATTTAAATATTAAATAAAAAATCGCGATTAGAAACCTTTAAAATTAAGAGCTGAAATTGTAATTTTTAATTTATTTTTTTTTTTGAATTTTTATGGCCCTGGTTCAGGCGGGGCCTAGGGCTTCAGCCCATAAGGCCCATACCTAAATCCGCGCGTATTTAAATCTCAGGAAAACAACAACAATTTTATCCTAAACCGTTCAGACGTTTTGGCGTGAAACAACTGTTCACATATAAACTTTTACATAAAGGGTTTTTATTTGAAAACGTGCAATGCTCTATAGATGTTAACCTAAAATTGATATTAAAAATTTCCTATATATAGTATACCTAACTGTTTCTAGGATATGTGGGGGAATCAGTCCAGCCACCCCATCTTAATTTTTTTAAATCATAACTCATTGGAAAGCTCTTGATAGTTGCTATTCAACAGTACAAAACAAAATTATTTTTTAATCGTTTAATTTCTAAGAAATACACAAAATAGTTTTTATTTTTCTTACAATTTTTCAAAAAATTATAATTATTTTGTGATAATATTGATTCTCCACACCTATCCTAATAAAAACGATTCGATAAAATTTTTATATCTGTTTTAGGTCCAGACTTATAGGGCATTGCTTGTTTTTAAATAAACACCCTGTTTATAATATTAGTAAACTGCAAAAAATGTATATTATATTTTTTCCCTTTAACAGCTTAATCAGGAATAAGCTTTACCACATTGGGGACCTCCCCTGTCTGGGACACCCTGTATACAGTAATACAATTTTATAATAATAATTTTACTTTTAAACATAATATTTTGAGCAAAAATTTTAATGTTTTTACCATTTAACCGAGGTCGAGAAAAGAATAAGTACAGGAAAGGTAAAATATAATTTTGATTTTAAAAATTAACCTTTTCTTTTAAAATCATTTTAAATCAAATTAGTAAACTTTGCCCATGAAAATAATTGTTATGGCAAAGGTAGAGGTGGGTACTCAGTGCACTAGGTAGATACACTTATCATCAAGATACGGTCAGTAGCGGAACCTATGTGTGTGATATCTATTTACCTACTTAACTATTGTTTACCAGTTGGCATGTTTATGCTAATATAAATATATATTAATATAAGTGTACATGGTTAAAAGAATATAATAGGTAAGAGACCCTTTATTTTTGTTTAATTTTTTTGTAGTTCATTTTAGGGTTAATACTAAAACTTATGTGTAAATTCTGTATATAAAACATATTTCAGAAATAAAGTTAATTAACATATTTTTAAACTACATCATTAAATGATATAATTTTCTATAATTACGCTTTGAAAACTAATAACAAAACTATGTAAATCAACTTGAATGATTTAATAAAGTTAAATATACTATATTTTAATATTTTATGCTGGTTGGTAAACTACTTTAAGAAATTGTTGCTATTAACAATTTACTATAATTTCACCTAACAAGAAAATTAATAAACAAAATAAGATGTTAATTTACAATGGTTATCTATATCACTGAATAACTAGAACTTGAAAGCAAGTAATTTATTGTCTTTTTGAGATTTAATTGTTATAAATAACACTTACTTATGTATTTATATATAAAGATATATTACTATTTTTATTTTTTAACATATAGACATAAAAAATGCAAAATAATACCTAATTGTATTGTTAAATATTGAAACATAATCAAACACAATGTATACATATTTTTTTCTTCAGGATTTCCTTAATTATTTTTATGCTCGTGGAATTTCATTACTTTGTCCATAATAGTCCACATATTGTTATATAATTTTCCCCTATGACTAAGTTATTCAAGGACAATTCATAACACCTTTCGACAAAAAACATAAACAAGCATAAATACATTTAATAAGTTTCGAGGTTCCGCAAGGACTCCTTTGGGAACCACTTGTTAGTTTAATGCATTTGTTTTTATTTCAGATTCTAAAATATTCAAAGTGAAACAAAAGTTAGTGTTAAGTTTTATATAATTTTTTAATAAAATGAAACAAATATTAATGACATAGTGTTATTTACTGTTTCTAACATAGAAAAAAGTGCATAAAGGTTCAATAACGAACATTATTGTGTAGTTATTTGGATCAACTAAAATGAAGATAAATTTTGATCGTTGGACTTTTTTGAAACTCGTAGAATTGGTAAGTGAAGAATTTTATTTCTTAAAAATGTTAAATATTGTTTATTATCCTAATAGTCATTATTTTTTTAAATTATACCCATAAAATTAAATTAAGATAGATTTTTTTAACAGGAACTCCCAAGTCATTGTTAGGTTGTTGTCATTTAATAATATGTGAGAATAAAAATACCTTGGTCCATCCTTACTAGCTATTGTCTTTATGGAAATTTAAAAACTTGACATTGTAGAGTGGCCAAGACTACTATAATTTTAAGAAAAACACAGTTTTTTAACATTGGCAATAGTTGGTTTCCTATAAATTATTGACCCAAGCTTAAGTTTATAAAGTATAAATTATAATTTAGAAACTTAAACTATAAAATGTTTATATAAAGGGTTTTTTAATACGAGTTTCCCGATGTGCAAGTTATTTATTGCAGTAAAAAGCATAAATAATTACAATTATATAAAAAACTAAATATCTATCAAATTTCTCTGTCCATACAAAACTTTTTTTGCTAAAATTTACGATGACATCTAAGCACATTTTTTATGTTTTTTAAAGTCTTCAATTTTTTTTAATTCTTGCATTATTTAAGAATGGTTTATATGGGTGAATATTTTAAAAGTGTAATTCAATCAGTTCTGGCTTGTTATTTCAAAAGTTAATATCCAACTGAAAATAAAATATTTGATGTCTAGTTTAATTAACTATTTTTACTTGATTCCTTACTTATTTTAGTCTAAACGAGCATAGTAAAAAATATACTTTATTTTTTGTGTCGCAAACGAAGAACAACAACATAGTATTTTCTTACATTTATTTACAAATTAAATCTTGCAAATTGCATTTTAAAATGTTAACTTTTCTTTTAATGCCGTTTAAACTTTGTTCACACCCATGAGCGTCATTGCCGTGGCTACTTAAAATGTGTCTAATTTCATATTTAAATACGCGATACATTCGGAAAATGCCGAAAGTTTTCGAACGTCTGATATGAAAATATCCTGCCTGTCTAACGTCCACTAGCATATGTCAAACCATAAAGTTGTGACGTGCGCCGAATGAAAACGAAAACAGCTTGTTACGTCTAAGTCCGTCATTGTCGGGGTAAGTATTATTTCAAAGTTTATGGACATACAAAATATTTACATTAATACAAAGGAGTCTTGCATTAATAAAAAGCAAATTGAAAATTCCATTACATTTTCGAATAAACATTGTAAAACACTTTAACCTTAAAATCATCATTACCGTGCTCGTCATTGTCGTGTCTTTTACAATATATTTCATTTCAGTGGGAAATTAATTAAAATGACAAAACCACGAAACAAGTTGACCAACTAAGCAAAAAGACAAGCAGAACGTGAGAGACGCAGAAGAATAAGAGATGACCAAGTAAAACCATGGGTCCAACTTTCTAAAATAGACAAAAAAAAATTAAATTTATAAAAATATTTTTCCCTTCATACTAAGGACGCTTATTGCGTCATCAATTATTTTCTGTTGAAAAGTGGACATCTTTAGTTTCTGTGCTAACTGAAACTTGCAAGGATGGAATTTCTTTTTTTTTTAATTGTTGTAGTTTTGGTAAAGCCTTGTTGTTACATTATTTATCTAACGAGTTTGACGTAATCATGGAAGACCTATTTGAACAATTTTGGCAAGTTGATTTCGGTGTATTATTCTATACACTGAGTAAAATAGGTTCCGTTTTTTTGTGTAGGGGAAAAATTTTGACATTTAAATAATAAATAGTATAATATTATACAAGAGATAATGCAGGCTATTATTTACGAGGATGAGGTTTTCGTCATGAGTCGACAGACGAGATACAAATTATCTGAGTGAATATTGCCTATATAAGGTTTAATACTATACATTATCTACTCCAATTAGTAGATAATTAAAGGATTTTTAAAAATAAAAAATAAAATCTGATATGTGTCAGTTGATTAACCTCACTTTCTACAAATTTTAAATATTATTATATTCGCCAATTAAAAACCCGATTATTTTAAATCACAGTAAATATCGGCCTAACTACGTGAATAATGAGTTCTTTATTACCGTAGTTAGGCAAAATTTATAATGGTTATAATAATTATAAATGAAAAAAAAAACAATATTATTAAAAATATATTATTATTCGCTATAAAACTACTATAAAGTAGGTACTAAATTTTAAAGTCCCATTTGTTTTATTACGTTAGAGATGGAATAATTAGTAATTTTTATTCCAATTTAAAGTAACAATTGTTATATTATAATTATCCCTTAATATTTGTTTTATTGTTAATATAATTACTATTAATAGTAATTATATTAACAATAAAACAAATATTAAGGGATAATTATAATAATAATAATAATAATAATAATAATAATAATAATAATAATAATAATAATAATAATAATAATAATAATAATAATAATAATAATAATAATAATAATAATAATAATAGTAATATTTAATGAGCACAGAGTTTTACAGCATTTAATTCCATAAAACATATTGGACTAGTCAAAAAAAAAATTACAAAATAAAGAAATTATGTTTAAACACACTGCACCTACTCCTAAATTTATTAAGCATTAAATAAGTTAATTAAAAAATATCACTAAGAAACTCTTCCACACAATAATATATTTTTTCTAAAAACAAAGTCTGCAATCTGCATTTTAACATTTTTAAACATTTACAATAAAACAAAATAGACATAACTTTATTATAACATTTAATTCCCATATAAATAAAAGACGTTTGACATACAGAGAGCCTAGAAAATGGCAAAACTAACTGATTTTGGCTTCTTGTTGAGTAACTGTGTATGTTATCATGTGTTAAATTTTTTTTTATTTTCAAAAATAAATAAAACTAAACTTTATATGTACAAACATGGAAGAGTTAAAATTTTGTTATTTCCTTAACAGAGGTTTACAAGAATATGTTGGACTTTTCTTGTCCATGCACCTAATGATTTTCTTTTGCGTTATAAAAACTTTATTGAAATAACTTGAGCTACCCCAAAATAAAATTCCATAGACAAGATGTGCCTGTACTACTCCAAGTACAAAAGCCTGAGTACTGAAAAGGTTACCGGCCCTCTTAGTGACCTTATTACATAACAAGCAGAACTTACTTTTTTATTTAAGTTATTTATTTGTGTTATAATATAATAATAATTATAATATAATTTAATATTAAGGGATTATATAATATTAAAAATAATCTATTAATTTATAGAAAAGCATATAACAGAGAGTCAAACGTCAAAATAGTATATTTCCCTACAAGGGCCGAAAGTTGAATTTTCGGCGCAGGACCGAGATTTCAACGTTTGGCCCGTGTGTATACTATTTTTTTTTATGCATCGGTCTAAAGTACTTACTTTCGTCCCTAATAGCAGGAACGAAAGTTTCCCTCGGTCGAAAGTTCGTACTTTCGTCCCTAATAGCATAGGTCCCTGCTATTAGTGACGAAAGTAAGTACTTTCGAACAAAGTATGAAGAAAAAGTTTTTGAATTAGATAATAATTAATTAGATATGAATGTAAGGTTTTGTTTTTTTGCCTACAAAATTTTATTGCCCTGCGCACCTCTCCTTTTGCACATTCATACAATTTTATTGGAATACAACTCATTTTTAGGTCTATTATCACGAACTAAATTTGTCTCTAATTGGCATTATTTCTTACTCTAAAAATATAAGACATGACACTTTTTTAGGTTTTAGCTGTTGCCTGTCTTGTTTACAAACGTATTACAGATGACGAAGCCTCCAGGTTGTTTCTATACCTTCAAAGGCTTTCAAGGCAGTGGAGCCTCCTTAACAATGTTACTTGGGACAGAGTAGGCGCAGCTGTAGCAGATGCTACTTATGGAGGTTATGTTATAATAACGGCTGCTTTATTTTTTGGAAGACTGTTCAGTGAAATCCCGACACATAGAAGGATTATAGAATATTTGCTGTTGGGAGTTGGAGCTATTCTTTTTATAATAATGGGTAAGTAAACATCAAAGTAAATATTGGGTATACAATTATTAAAAATAAAACTAATTAGGTACTAAACTTCCGTTATGCTGTCTCTATCATCATTTGTTCTAGCTCACTAATATCAATATAAAATAAGTTCATGTCAAGGATTCGTAAACACGGCCTTAACAGTCGATGTGTATTCATTTTAAATGTAGTTTTTTCTCAGGTAATTAACACGTAAAGTAATTAAATCCTTCTAATTAGCATTATTAAACTATTAAGCGTTTCATTTTTATGCTGTCGTCAATTATTAAATTGTTGAGCGCTTACAAGAACATCGTGATATGTTATGGTTTAAATATGATTTAATTTAATTATTAAGTATGTTACTTTGTAATTAAAATACTCAACATATTTTTATAAAACTGGGAGCGAGAGTTACTACTTTTTCATACCAACATAAAAAATGTGAAATTAGGAAGAGAGAAATTATATTAAATTCCGCAAATTTGTAAGATAAACGTTTCAGTATACTATAGACCTGATACAAATGAATTTTAATATGTTTTTATATTGTAACCATTATATCTGAATGATTGTAAAAAAAGTATTTGCCACTTATGAAAAAATGTAAAATATGGTCTGCCATCCAAAGTATTTCGCATTTCGCTTTGTGTTTAGGGTTCTGTAGCACTACTATTTGAAGTTATTTTTATCAATTTGTTAGAATTTTATCTATGTGTAAGAATTACTAAATTTTAAATAGTTTATTAAAACATTTATGGTTATCTCCTTAAAGTTTAAAATTGACACTAAGCAACATTTTTAGAAAATAATGCTTTAAATGTAGGTACCTATATTTAAAAATATATAAAAAGCAGATTTTTTAGCAATCTGTATTTAAAATAAAATATAAAATATTATTAGCTTAACATTTTATTAGGGCGTTTACTAATAGAATTATATAGACTTATGTGATCCTGTATAAAGTATATGTACCTATAAGTATAAGTAAGAAAAGGTCTAAGTGCCAAATTCGCCAAATTCAGTTTTATCTTATAATCCTGTTATAAGAGGTTTTTGTGCCAACATGTTGTTGTTTTTCGTTATTTTCAATATTTGCTAGCAGATGTCCAAGCGACGCGACCTGTTTAGTGAACAGTTTCTTTTGATAATATTTTGGTACTTAGACCCTTTGTAACTTTTAACTGCCGATGTATACAAATATTGCAGCACCTTTATTTATTCTTCTTTATTCTTTGTTTTTCATAAGCTATAAAAATAGTAAGTGTAAAGAACTTTATATTATATTTCTGGCAAGTGTAATATAGTATTTTATATTTTTATTTATAGGTAGTTTGGAGTATGCAGCTTTGGACCAAGTTCCTCCAGATTTAGTAGACAATGCAGCAGTCATTGGAACACTTACTTTGGTGGAAGGACTTTTATTCCTTCTTGATCTTGGAGGACCTAAAGCTGTCAAACCTCCCAAACCATCGAAAACCACTCAAAAAATAGTAGTGAAAGAATTGGAACCCAAAAATATAACCCAAAGAGTTCTAGAGATCGAACAAGAAATAGAAAAAACTGAGAAGGATTTCAAGACAAAAAATGGAGATCCACAATTTGAGACTGTTGTAGAAAAGCCAAAAAAATCAAAGGCCAAACAGGAGAGTCAATTTGAGTTAAGGGGTAATGATAATGGTAATGGTGTTTTAAAAGGTCAAATGAAAGATTATGCTGCTAAACGAATTGAAGAAGGTAAACATAAAAACGTTGTTAAAAATTTGTCATGTAATTGTATTTTATTATGATGCACTAAATTTACCTGCAGTGATGAATGATATCATATTTTTAAAATTACTGCTATTAAAAAAATCATGATTAATTTAATTGCTGTTTATTTAGAACTAAACATTATAATAACAGTGTCTACTTTTTTTTTTAAATTATTGTAATAATGCAAATTATTTTTTTTACAATCTATTTATAACGAATTGTCTGAAAAAAACTTTTCCACATATTTTATTTAAAAAATGGACCATTCATTAATCATTAATTACTAATATAGAGGTGGGGGAAAGATATTTAAACATATTTTTGACATCTACCCCCTTTTCCTATTTTGAGGGAAGGGGGTAACTTTGGATTTTTAATAGTAATGATGTACTTGTAAAAAAAAATCGAATCTATGTAAAAAAATAGATGTGTGCAAAAAAAAATTGTTTGCGCTTTTGCTTACGGAATTATGATCTATTAAATTATAAAATACTATAATAGTATATTAAAGAACTACCAACTATCTAAAGTAAAATTTGACCAAATTAAATTTAAGGTAATTTTTTTTATAGAATTTTTGCAAAATAGATAAAATAGCATAAAGAACTCATGTCATAAGACCTTTTGTCGCACTCGTCCAATAAATTGTCCGCGTGCGACAAAATGACGTCTTATGACATTAGTTCTTTAATATACTATTATAGTATTTTATAATTGAATAGATTATAATTCCGTAAACAAAAACGCAAAACAATTTTTTTTTGCATACATCTATTTTTTTAAATAGTTTCGAATTTTTCTACGATAAAAACAATAAATACATAATTAAAATAAATGAAGAAAATTTGACATCTCAAATTCCAAAGTTCAACTTCAGCCCGTTACTAAAACGCCATTAAGATACAGCTTGTCAATGTGTCACAGATCACTTAGCGTCATGGAAATGACGTAAATGTGTATTTAAACTTGGCAGTGCAAATGTGTGAAAAAGTTTCTAAGAGACTAATTTTTTTGTAGGTTATAGAAGAATGTCTGGTGAACCACCCAAAAAATATGGCATCTATGGAAAAGACGCCACTGACTCAGGAGGGGACAGTGGTACTGACGAAGTAGACCATATTCCTCCAAGGATGGAAACTCATTCACCAGTCTGGAGCCAGATTAGAAAGGGTAGACAATTTACTCCTTATGGTTTCAGATATTAAAAAAATCATTTAAAATGTTGTTTAAACCACTAAAATCAAAGACTAACGTATTATTTATAAAATATAAAATGTGCCAAAAGCAAAGAAAAGACAAATTTGTAAAAAATAATATATTTTTTAACACTTTTAATAAATTTATAAATTTAAATCATTGCATACTTTTATTATAAATATTTATCAAAGATTTTTATTAGGTGAATATGGTAAATATGATATAGTTCAGACCCCATACCTCTACTCAAAAGGTAAAAGACAGGAAGAGCGCCCTCCTAGTACTCCTGGAGATCCTGGATATGTCCAGTATTTGGCACAACACTGGGGAAGCAAATCTGGACAGAAAACACCTAGGCATAGCCCAACTGAAGTCTAAAATACTTTAATTTTAATTTAATAATATTAAGTGTTCATTATTTTTATTGTGTTTAATAAAGTGTTTTTTTTTACTGAAATGCGATATATTTATTATATTTTTATTATTAAATACATACACCAATTTTACATACAAATAAATACGTAGACCGTTTCAATGCAATGTCGTTATGTTGTTTGAACAAATTTGGTTTAAAATCACTTTTAATCCAAACTTATTTACGATTGAATGCGGTCTTATATGATATAATATTCTGGATATAACAACAATAAAAAAGCTTGATGATAAACTGGACGGGAACAATGCAATCTTATATAAGTATATGACTATAGTACATAAAAATACTTCTTGTTATTAAAATAAAAATATATATACAGATAAATATAATCTCTATAACGTAACAATTTTGAACTTAAATAACTAAGTGCTTTATTGTTCTTATAAAAAAATGTGAGCATAATAAAAATTAGTCTTAATTTACTGGTTTCTAGAGCTATGCGATTGCTCCAAGTTAATATATTGGCGTACTAAACGCGAAATTTCGTGAGCCTGTTCAGTCTGCAATCTGGTAACGCGCTGCTGAAGGAGGTTACCACATTTCATGTCCAAGAAAAGAGACCCATCCTCGGAACGTACTTTTCTTGTGGAAATAACTTCGGCGAAGGGCCAGTGTTGGAGGGTTTCATGGGTTATCATGTCCAGGAAGTGTACACCTCCTCTATTCAAGGCTAATATGTGTTCTTGCCAGGCGTCTGTGTCGCCTAGTACACGTTTTACAGCAAAGAAAGAGCTGCCAAATAAGGGCCAGTTGCTGAGGACTTGAAGGACTCTATGTTTTGCTCTGGATACGGGTAATCCTACTGCCTGACCCCATGATGTTTGAACTAGGGCTAGCCATTGAGGTGGCCTGGGTTCTCTAAGACCCAGAACCGGTTTTGGTAGAAGGAATTTAACCTCCTTTATGCTTGGTGCATGAGTTAAATCGGCTGCTCTGTGCAGTAATGCTGCTACCAAAGCCATATCTCTGACATAACTTGGTGGAAGATTTGGGTTACCAAGTCTCAGTAATAAACCTTCAAGATAATCTGGGGCTACTTGGTTGAACAATACCTCAGTATATAGTGGACTAGCATCATGTTTTAATGGGTGGTACCATACAGATCTGCAGAAAATCAAGTAAAATGGTTGTGCAGCCTTATGTAGCTCAGTGGTTACATCCAAAATATACTCATCAGCTGCTAAAGGCATTGTAAATGCGTCACCTTGTACAATACAATACAAGCTAAACTCTTGTTGCTCAGCTTCAGAGTTTACTCCGATTAATCCACATAATTCTTGGATAACATCAGCTACAACTGTACTACATCTTGTATTAACAACTCGTTCGGCACCACCAGGTAATCGGTATATTTGTCGTCTGGCTGATCTACCTGCACTAACAGCAGTGACCTCCTCAACTGACGGAACATTTTTCCTTCCACCGCATCTCTGCGTTTTTCTTAGGTTACTTAAGCATACAGCCGCTGTACCATGACAAATTCTTCGCCTATCGGAAGCTGCGCTCGACAAATGTTCGGTTAAGAACGGTATCAAATGTTCAGAACATGCGAAATATGCTGCCACTATAGAAAGTAACCTCCAAGCCCTTTGACATGATTCGGGGGATTCAGATTTATTACTCGTTGTTTGCTTCATTAATTGACAGTAGACTTCGTCGCGGAGTTGGCCATATTTATGACAATGCTAAAAAAACAAAATTATTAAACAATATTTATATAAAAGTAAATAAACTTACCATAAGCACTGTATATACACATTTGACCTCAGACATCTCCGGAGTTAATGGTAAGTCTCCGCAATATCTCAATATACATTCAAAACATTCTATAGATAGTGGTGTCAAGTCTGGGTCTTCTAAACGCAACAATGGTCCGTCAATTGGGTGAGGTTGCCATTTGACAAGGTCAGTGTGTTGCTTCCATGTCCATTCTTTACGTTTTTCCTTTGATTTCACCGATGAGTCCATTTTTAACATTTCCAAACTAAAAAGAATGATAAACAATGTAGATGATTATAATTGTGCTTAATTTCTCTTTATATTAAGAACATTAATAAAAATTTGACAAACACATGTTTGCTTCTATTGAAGGTTTCATTAAACTGTGTATTGTTGTAGCGAAATTCTTTTATGATTTCCTAATGCTCGATTCATTCATTTCTATTGGTTGGTGGAAAATACCTCGGGCAACTATTTTAAATTGTTTTGATTAATTAAAGCATAATATACATTATTTATTTGAGATATTGTAATGGAAATATATTTTATTTCCTCATTATTTTGATTGGTAATTTTGGAATAACTTTCACAATAATTTAAAATTACTTAAAAAATTTTATCGGATTCGTAATAACTTCTACGAATACTATTATATATATAATGCGTTGAAATTAAAATATTGTAATACAAGTTCTTAGGGGACATCCACCTTTTATTAGAATATTTTGATAGTTGCAAAATTAGTAAGGGGACATCCATTAATTACGTGAGATAAAAAAAGGGCGGGAGGGGTGTAGCAAAATCTCACCAAATCTCATGTTAAGGGAGGGGGGTCATTAAAAATCTCACGTCAACTTTTGGTTTTAAAGAATATGACATTGTATTATAATTCAAATTTGTCAAAAAAAAGTAATCAATTTTTATTTTTTGGGTTTATTATGTTGTCCGCAAAGAAAGTTTAATGGCTAGAATCTCACGTGAGAGATAGGGGGGTCTACCACATCTCACCAAATTTCACCAAGGGGTAGGGAGGGGTCCAAATTATCAGAAAAATGCCTCACGTAATTAAGGGATGTCCCCTGGTACAATACTTAATTCAATGAAGTTGACAAATTTCAAATTTTATTAAAAAAATTCATGAATTACAGGTTTTATACCATTTTAAATTTTTATTATTTGTTTTACTAAAATAGAAATTGTATAAAATCTGTAATACTTGAATTTTTTCAATAAAATTTGAAATTTGTCGAGAAACTTTAGTGAATTAAATATTGTAGCACTTTAATTTGAATTATCTTAATATGGGGGGGCAGGGGGCTTGGGGGGACACTTAAAAACTAACTTTTTTTCGCAAACTTTAATTTAAATTCTGCTTGCGCAGAACTTGTCTATATAGTGTCATTATAAACTTATATAAATTTGATGTGGGTCCCATGTCTAATAACTGAGATATGGGTGTGCCCAAAATCCACCAGCTGCCATTAACTTAAATTAATTAATAATTAAATTTGGGTAACGCATATAGAAGTATTATTTACCATTACCATTAATCACGATACACAGGTGTGTGTATCATGACTATTAATGATCTCTAATGTTGACATACCCACTTTTTTCTAAACATTGGCTGTATCCAAAAACACTCTTTAAAAAACTAACCATCAAATTGTTTTACATTATACCACAAACCTAGTAACATATCAAATAAAGAAATGAAAATGCTGGCATTATTCCAAACCTAACTTTGTTACGAATTCTGAGTTAAAGAACAAACAAAATATTATGCTTTCTAACTTTTTATAATGCTAACATTTCGTTCAACACTGTTGCTCCAATGTGCGGCCACGTGATATAATGCAAAATAATTGGGCATAACTAATTAAGTTAATTACAAAAGGATTGGATAAAATTAAAATTAAAAGATGATCCACTTTTTATCTATATGAGATTCATGGTTTCAAGAAATTTTGCTATAGGTTGTGCGTCTAACATTACTATTTCAATATATAAAGTCCGTAAAGATCATTAAAAAAGCAAAAAACTTACTCAGCGCTTTGCCTGAAGTTTTGTAACGCAAATTGTAACATGGAGTATTTTCCTGTGGGTGGTAAGGGACTGCTTGGGGACTGTGCTCCTTCACTTCTCATTGTAGTTCTGGACTCCCTATGTTCTCTCAGTGACTCCCTGGATTCGTGAATATCATTTCCGTGTATTCCATTTATACCGTTCAATCCGTTAATTCCGTTGGAAACTGGAGCCGGTTCGATTCTTTCCATTGGTGGAACTCGTGGTGGAGGAGATGATTTCATTTGGATCTGGAATAAAAAAATAATTTAAATTTATATAAATTTAAAGCAGTCCTTTTCGATTTTTTTTGGCGGTCAATAACCATAGAAAAATGTATACTAATAAAAGTGTTTTTTATGGTTTTGCTAATATATTCAAATTAAGCAGTTGATATTCTTAGAAAGTTTATGTCTTTATAAGTTTATGTAAATAAACAATTGTTTAGCACGTTGATTAATAAAAATGTAAAGTTATGCATTAGCAAAAGTATCTAAATAATTGAGTGATCAAATTTTAGTTTTAATTTAAACAATTAATGTTTTTTCTACAACCAAGCGAAAAGTGCAAATTTGCGCTTCCAAAAGAAAGCGCAAAGCGCCGAGCGACAAAGTAACCAAAACACTCGCTTAGTTACCATGGAAACCATAAAAAAGAAACCTTTAGTGTATTTGCGACTTTTGACACAAAAGTCAAATTTAAGGTTATCAATAATTATTAATTTTTACCAAACATTCTTATAGAAACACCTCTGCCGTGTTTAATGAAAACGCCGTAACCAACAATTTTGCGATTTTTGTTTTACGGCATTTTCTACTAGAACAATTCATCCTGCGTCTATCCCCGGTACTCAAAAAACCGTATCTATATATATACGGTTTTTTTATTACCGGGGATAGACGCAGGATGAATTGTTCTAGTAGAAAATGCCGTAAAACAAAAATCGCAAAATTGTTGGTTACGGCGTTTTCATTAAGCACGGCAGACCTGTTGTAGAAAAAATCCTGTTTGTATTTCGTGCGCAAAGTGACATTGCCGCTCTCGCGAGATAGCCGCACTTAATACACAAATAGCTATTTAACGTTGGCAAATTTTAAATCTTTAAATTTAAAAATAAAAACATTTGGAAAACACAATCAGTAAAATTATTTAATAAAGTAGACAAGTTTTTTCACTATCTAGAAAGCGGATTTTAGAATTAAGACCATTTGTACGTAAATCTAATATTAAACCACCAATAAGTAAATTAAACTGTAGACATATTTATCCGGATCACAAAGAGGTAGAAAAAATCGATACCATAGGTATCGATACTCTTTTGATACAAATCATTTTTGAAAGTGTTTAAAATAGTTATTTTTTATGCTAGATTGCGAATTGTCACTTTTGCATTCGAGAATGAGAATGATGAGTTTTTTTTGAGCGATAGCAAGCAAAAGAATCATTTTTGAATGCAAAAGAATTTCGCAATCGAGTATCAAACTGTATCCCACAGTTTATAAGTTACTAAAAATGTGAAGAGAACATTTTAAAAGGTATTTTGCGTACATAGCAACGGATGTAATAGTTATTTGTGTATACAGCAATGAATGTTATAGTTATTTACGTGTCAAGCTTTGTAAATGAATCTTTACGGGCGAGATGGAAGTGTATGGGGTGAGCGACGCAGGAGCGAACCCCATAATCCGGTGAGCCTAGTAAATATTAATTGCAAAGCGTGACACGTACAAACTTTTATTTTCACCTTTAATAACGATTTTCAAATTTAAAATTTTAATTAGGAGGTCAAATGTGACATTTCATTTTATAAATTGCTTTCCTACAAGCCTGTAAAACTTTACAGGTCTTTTATACAAGCCCGTAAAATATTACTGGTCTGTTTCCCATGTATTGTTTACTTGGATACAAAAACAACAAAATTAAAATGTCATTTACTAAGAAGGTGGAAATTAAAAACTTTTATCCGAAATCGGCATGCAGTAAAGTAGAACTTTACTGCCGATTTAATACGAGTATTGTATGCAACCCATTATACATTTTAAGATGTGCCTACTGCTCCTCAGCAGCAACTAAATAATATTTTAAAAAAGCACTGTTGCGGAGGTCGATTGGCCCCCTTTAATAAAAATGATTAGTTAATTTTTTTAATTAAATAAAACAATCGCCGCGACGGGCAAATATATCATAACCGTCGCAACAAACAGTATACGTAGACACTTCCTACATTCAAATTGATTTGATCATCAATATTAATTATTAGTATTAAAAGTAAAGTAGAGTAGTAACGCCATCAACCTATCCAGCTTACAGGCAAAGCATTATTACTTAAAAATGTCTGGCAATCAAACTTGAAGATCGCAAGAACATTTTAGTTTAAATTGTTTAAATTAATGACGCCCTTACTTGATAGATCGTGCATTAAAATTAAATATTTGTTGAAGTTGTATGATTTTTATATTTTTTAATAAAGTATTTATATTTATTTATAGTTTATAAACTTTATTAATTTGGTGTCATTACCAAGTTTTGATTTTTCCTGTAATTGTTTAACCCCATTGTAAAATCAAATATTTTTCTTGTGAGAATAAAAATGTTTATAATTTATTAGTAGATAATTTTTAATAAAACCTGTCATGCATAAAATTGCAAAGGAGGCTGTTATTTATATTATTTTAATTGTAGTTTAACAATTTTCTATGTTAGATACAACATCTGTCGGTATTTCTTTTATTGTAAAAAATACAGTTTACAAATCATGAAATTTTATTTATATGGAAAGAAAGTTGCACCTAAATATGAAACATTTTGCTTGGTATTTCCTGCACAGAATAAGAATATCAGCAAGTTGTTTTGATATACTTATACTTACACGTAAGTGGGCATTAATTATTATTAATAAAAAGAAAACTCATAACCGTATAAATGTACCGTAATATGGTTGCAAATTGGTGAATGATTCAACAAATAATTAAAATTGATTTTTTGCAGAAGATTATAATGCACGCTTGGTTAATATGTAGGTGCATGCAACAATTTCAACTAACTAATTGAAATGTTTGAGTGTTATTTATAAGAAAATAAAAAGTGTGGTCACGAATTGAGCACTTTTCAGCTGTCTAAAATTAATCATAGGAAAAAAATTTCAAAAAGTAACAATTTTAATTTTAGGTTAAAACTGTTTAAGTATTATTGCATTCACACAATAAATTTAAAAAAAAAACAATAAATGTCTAGTAGTGTAATATTTAACGGTTATATTGAGTTACTCAATCTGAGTATAAGATTGAATATAATTTTACTTTACAATACAAACAATTTCTTTATTTTTAATAAAGCGTTTAAAATATTCTCTTACTTAGTGGGTCAGTTGTTATTATTAGACCGTTTAAGATGTTAAATGTCAATTTATAAAGAAGTGGTATTTAATTATTTTTATACAAAGTAAATTTTATTAAAAAAGTGGTTATTATCTAAAATGAAAGTTTATTGGTAAATTATTGTTTGCCATTACTAAAAATGTTTTCAAAATAGTATAGATAGTTCGAAGTAAGCTATAACACACGAGTTGGAAATTTGAGAGCCGCTTCTTACCCCTTCATAAATAATAACGTGTTTGTTACTTTTTTATTACATAACACTTCTCTTTAATGATGTGTTTACATGTAAGAAATCTAGTGTGTAATTGAGCGTTTACTATAAGGAAGTAGAAAAATACTATTTTATTTTTAAGGTCTAATGTACTTTAACCTTGAAAAATTCACGCTGTGAAAAACGAGCTTCTCATGCCGGAAACATTTGCATAGCTCTCCTGATAATGTTGTCTTTTTATTAAAACAGGTACGTTTTAAACAGCCTTTGCATTTTAATGGATAAAATAAGTTTTTACTAACATAATATAAAAATAAATCCTTAGAACATTAGGGAACATCAATTAATTAGGTGAGGCATTTTTCTGATAATTTGGACCCCTCCCTCCCCCTTGGTGAGATTTGGTAAGATGTTGTAGACTCCCCCTATCCCTCACGTGAGATTCTAGCTATTAATCTTTCCTTGCGGACAACATGATAAACCCAAAAAATAAAAATTGATTACTTTTTTTTTGACAAATTTGATTATAATACATATTCTTTAAACCCAAAAGTTGACGTGAGATTTTAAATCCTTCCCTTAACATGAGATTTGGTGAGATTTTGCTAAACCCCTCCACTCCCTATTTTTATCTCACGTAATTAATGGATGTCCCCTTACTAATTTTGCAACTATCAAAATATTCTAATAAAAGGTGCGTTTAACAAAAAAAGATTATGTATTAGTGTAAAATTCTCGGTGTTTTATAAATCCCACCCGTATTACTTTAAGGCTGTGATCGTTCAAGAATTTCAAACATCTTGTTTATTTTATAATACCAATACCATGTTATATTTTATTAATTTTTTATTTTCCACTCAATTGAGTTCTATGATCCACATAAGTTAAATTAGATTGAGCTTAAAGTAATAATGAAACGGTTGGTTAGGTCTAAATTACGTACATAGTTTATTAATTTGTTTAGTACTAATATTAATATTTTAGATAAAAAGACATAATATGTCTTTATATATTATATAAAGTCATAAAATTTTAGAAAATAATGATTTATCATAATATGATAAATCATTATTTTCTAAAATTTTATATTATAATATTGAAAAAAATTAATTTACAAAATAAAATAATGGTAAAAATTGTATATTTAAATTAGTCTTTTATGGTTTCAGATGATGTAAATAAAGGTATTTTAAATTTTATCTCTTTAAATCTATTACTACAAATTGAATTTAAAACAAGTTTAAACATTATATTTAAATGTAGAGCCAGCGGGTTAGCAGCTATAACATCAAAAATATATGCAAAAAATCAAGTTGATCCCTTAAAAGGCAAACAAACAAACATACTCTCGCAAATATACAGGGTGCACTAAGTATTCTTATAATAATATTATGTGTAATACACGTTGTGTAGACAATGTACTTATACTATACAGCCTGTTTAGAATAAAACCGAATATATCTATATATATATGGGGCGTGGCCTCGCCTCCCTCCAAGGCGCGTCACAGTTGCTTGTGTAATAAACGACATGACGAAAGGTCGAGCAGGTAAGGACTTAAAAAATTAAATAATAATAATGCAAAAAATCTCATAAGCGATGCAGTCTATTTGCTTAGCTAGTGTCGCGCGTTGGAGGGAGGCGAGGCCACTCCCCATATATA